TAGTCTACTGCAACCTTTTCTATTGAATGTTCCTTATAGTCTACTGCAACCTTTCCTATTGAATGTTCCTTAATGTCTACTGCAACCTTTCCTATGTAGATACCTGTAGTCACTGTAGATTACAGTCCTGCTCTGATAGTATAATATGATCTGTTCTATGTAGCAACCTGTACTCGATATTTATCTTTAAATCGGTTATAATTTCTATAAAACTGATGTAAGATACATTTGTTTAGTGCACGTGTAGTCTTTAAAATTTTTTAGTAGTCCTTTGTGTGTTGCTTGTAGTCTGTTATAGGTTGCATGAATAACCTGTATATAGGGGACTAGAGAGAGTGTTTCCAGGGGTTGAGAAGGCGGAGGAAGGTCCTGACATAGATAGATAGATTTATACGTGACAGAATTATAGATAGATGGTTAAATAGATACATAACTAGTATGGATAGTGAGATCCTCAAATTTATTGAAGTGTTTTAATTTGAAGCTGATATTTCAAATAACTTTTATGGAGAGATTAAGGGATAGATATATGGAAATATATGGAATATGGATTCGAAGTTATTCCTTCCCAACTTGTAGTATTTGGGTCATCTCCACATAGTTCTAACCAACTATCATCTAAAGTTCTGTTTTCTGTACCGCAGGCTCGTAACCAGGAAGGGTTACAGGGGACAGGTGCACCCTTTTTCCTAAAAGGGGGATGCAACGACAAATATGCACCCCTCCCCTTTTGAATAATTTGAGTGGCATAATCCAATTGGATATGACGGAAAAACTACAAAAATACCTTTAAATAATTCCAGGGGGTGATTTTTTGCCACAAATTTCCTTTTATCTAATACAATCAAAGTATAAGCTAAAATTACTTGAAAAAATGTGAAAATTTTCTAGCTTTTACAAGAAAATTCATATGGCATCAAATTCAAGCCCAAAACCATTAGTTTAAATAACAAAACTATAAAAAATTATTCTGGGTCCTTTTGCGTTACACCTATCTTTACATCCCCTTCCCTTGGATATTCCTGGTTGAGGGCCTGTCTGTACCTGTATAAACTGGAGGTTTAGAATACCCCCTGGAGTACTGAGGAGTTCTACCCCCAGGGGTAGAGTTAGCAGAGTAACCTCCTTGGGGGGTATTCCCTATATATATATTATCTTGTATGTATATTGTACATAGTATATAAAGCAGAACGTCGAACTTCTATGAATGTCAGTGTGTGCGTATGTTACCCTTTGACAGCTCAAGATGTAACAAAAATAAAAATGTCACTTTGAGGTTACATATATGTACAATGTACATCCCAGTTTTAGTTTGAATAAGAATCTGGTAGGTTATGGATCAAAGGAATTAGACAGAACTAAGAAAATAAGAAAGATAATGAAAAGTTAAGAATATAAATTTTTTACCTGAATATCCAGGTGTTAGTCCACTAGGGGTAGAATTGGCAGAATATCCTGGAAAATAAATTTTTTTTTAATGACTTGACTTGACTTGACTTGACTTGACTTGACTTGACTTGACTTGACTTGACTTGACTTGACTTGACTTGACTGACCTCCTGGAGTTGGCCCACTGTAGAGATGAGAGGGGCCAGGGTACAGAAACTCTAAAACAAGAAAAGATATGAAAAAAATTTGCTACATATTCACATGAGGAACCATATATCCACTTCATTACTTTCTTTCATTGATAAATGATTTTTGAAAACCATGCGTCAATTAAAAAAATTACGTTAAACCGTTGTGTATAGGATAGTGAACTCCATTTACAGTTTATATTATATACCAATACTTCACCTCTACGACGCAAACGAGATGTTAGGACTAATACCAACACACCTTGGTAACGCACAAAAGAAGTATTATTATTAACCTGATGTAGAGGGAGGTCTAGATGATCCACTAGGAGACTTATTCCCCTCTCCGTCATGACTTGCCTGACTGTTTCTATAAATTACACAAGTTTTCGTCTAGAATTAGTTCTATTGTAAAATGTTCTTTCTAACTGTAAAATAAACCGACGGCAATGGTCGTATTTTTAGGGGGGAGTTTTTTGGAAAATAAAATAAAAATGTTGACTTCAACTGGCAAGTTCTTTTTAATCTTTGAATATCTGAACTCAAAAATTCATTTTTTTCCAAATTCAGAGCCAAGAAAAATCTTATTAGTAATCTTATTATTGAGAGAAAACGCATTTTTGACCAGGAATAATATTTTTAACAAAGAAAATACCCTTAAAATATCAAAACCTTAAACCATAAAAACGTGTGTTAAAATAACAACTTTTTGCAAAAAACTAAAAAAATGTTTTATTTCCTAAATTTTTGTTAAAATCTTGAGATTTCTTAGATAAGGATTCATCGATAATCCCCCCCCCCTCAGAGCTAGTATATCTTAGTCTCTTTATCTAAACTATCGGGTTAACTGGAAGGGGGGATGGTTGGAGGGGGGAGGGGTAACTATTACCTTGGTGTATATCCACTGCCTGGAGTATATTTCCCGTAGAATGGAGTGAAGGCGGGGTTGTAGGAGTGCGGGGATATTCCAAATGAACACGGAGTTGTACTCTCGGATATATTCCCACTCACACCCATCTATAAATATATATTTAGTTAACAAATAGACTAAAATTTGCATTCTAAGTAACTTTAGAGAAAAACGATTGGCCCAACTGGTCAGCACTTCCATAGTCAGCACCCCCAGAGATTATGTGATGAAAGGGGGTCTGTTTTGTTCGTAAAAGGGAGAATATGACCCTGGTCAGGCTACCTATCTACCTACTATCGATAGTAACTCTACAGCAGGGCCGCAATTACGGCCCTGCTCTATATCCTACGTATCCCTTATATCAAAAGCAACATTTATCAACAATCAACATTCTCTGTTGCCAAGAGGGCGCAATAACAGTCTTTAACAAAACATAGACTCTGAATAAATTTATTTTAAAAAGGTAAACTTGAACCGTATTTAATGAATTGAAAGATTGCTGATTAAAATTTGAACCGGCGCGGCAGTGGCAGTTCGAATTTATTAAACGCAGTCCCTAGAGAATTTTTTAATTTGTTCCGTAGCATTGAATTGTTACCTTAGTAAATACTTGTAAAGGTCTCTGAAACCCTCTACTGGAGTGGGAAGGAACGGCTATAACCTAAAATATAAATTTCAATGATAAAATTCTTTTAATTTTTATAAAAAAAATAGTTTGGGAAGTCCAAAATTTTTGATCATTATTTTCAAAATGTAACAATTCAGTGCTTAGGATCCGCAAGATTTTGGCTTCCTGGATCCGGATCCGGAAAAATATGCGGATCCACGGATCCGGATCCAAGGGGTAAAATATCAACCAAAAACTGCAAAAAAACTTTTTTATTCCTAAACCCCAATTCTGAACTTTTGAAAAAAGAGAGATTTTAAAAATTTCCTCATTTCTGAATGGTTTATCAAGTTTTAGGACAAAAACAACGGAAAAAAATAAAACAAAAAATTTGAAAAATTATTTTTCTTTAAAAAAATTCAGTAAATCTTTAAGAAATGACCTGGATCACTATCCGGATTTGGATCCATTTTTTCCAGTGCGGATCCAGGATCCGGATCCACATCAAAATTAAATGGACCCTAAGCACTGCAATTTACAATGTAAATGTTTACTTTGTTAAATGTGATTACACGAAATTTTGTTACCATTTAAATTAATGTTTTTGGAGAATAAACTTAATCAAACTCTCACCTCACATTTAGAGAACCCAACATCGTGGAGTAAGAATTCTCGAAAATGCTCTGGACGGAATTTTATCGCCTAAAAATAAAAGAACATTTATGAAATTTTCATTAAACTTTTTTTTTCAGCATCAAATAAAAGATATTAAAATCTTTTTTCAGTCATTAATTTTTGTTTACCATTTCAAGAATTAAATCATCAAATCTAATTGAATTTTTAATTTTGAATTGATCCAAATCGATCATGACGAATTCATACCTTGTAATTGTTGAAAATTGCCTCGGACAATTTCTTTCTTTTCCCGTAGTTGGAAAAATTCTGAGCTTCTAAAACCAGTTTCCCTGTAACGAGGAGGTTTAGAGGATTAAATATAAGGAGTAGTTTATATGATTGAAATTGTGAATTCTTAAATTAAATGTGTCATAAGATCGAAACTGTGGCACTTCAAAGTTTATTGATCAATGCTTTATCCCTGAGTTAAAGTAATCCCTCCAGGTTATGATCACCACGGGATATCGCAAAGTAATTAGATTAATCTGTAAATAGGGATTAAAACTTGATCCTGAGATTCGCAAAACAAAAGTTCTGACTTCTGGAGAGTAGACGTTTTCGCACAGATATTCTCGACATGGAAACAGTTAAAAATACAAAAACCACATCGATATATATAATAATAAAAAAATATCTCTTTTCATTGATCATTCCGTCCTACCGAACATCCTAGATATTATAAATAAAAAACTTAGAATTACAAGAATTACAATTTTTGTATACCTCCTTGTTTTAATTGAGCATATATTTTCCTGAAAGTTCTCTTTAGTCCATCATCTCCGTAATTTAAATGTATCCACTAAAATAATTAAAATTATTATACAACATCTTTTATAGAAATGATTACTACAACAGAACAATACAATAACGTTGCATGGAAATGTATTTAGGACAATAGCTAAGTATTATACAATATCGTGTAGTTTACTTCCTCACTAACTGAGTAAATACAACAAAAATTTATACAATAACATAACAGGGAAATGTCTTGACTACAATAATTAATTATTAGCCTATATTTTTAACAACACAACAATATAATGGTTTTGAAAATGGATCAACTACAAAAAATGAACATTAAGTGTTAACCCTATCTTATAGTTTTATTATTCTACAATTTCAAAACAATTTTTCGTTATTTAAATAGTGATATAAATTACGGTTTACCTTGGTTGTAGAGAGACAAAGGATTGTATCGTACTGATGAAGGGTTTCTGAAAAAATATAATCATGAAGATTAACATTTTTTTTAATAAAAAAGTAAAAATTTCAACATATAAATTGCCTTTGAATACTTTCACGTTCACTCAGTGAACTCAACCAATCCTCTTAGGATAATTCAAACTTAAAGGCAATTTATGGAAAATAGGGATTTTTCAGGAAAATTTTTCCAATTGCAGCCCCCCCCCCGTGCTTACCAAAAAGTTGTTCCGACTGTGGGACATAGTCACCAGAGATAAACTCAACATTGTGAGGAAATTCCTGTTCAATCCATCAATCAAATCCGTCATTGGATCAATCATTTGTTCGATCGTTTGCTCAATCATTTGTTAATTTTTTTTAATGGAGCGATTAATCAATCAATAATAGAGTTATTCAATCATCGATCATTCATAAAGTTATTCAATCATCAATCAATCAACTAATCATGAAGCTATTCAATCATTTATCAATCAACTAATCATGAAGCTATTCACTCATTTATCAATCAATTAATAATGAAGTTATTCGATAAGCCATCAATCAATTAATTATGAAGCTATTCAATCCTTAACCTATAACCTAGAATTAATCGTGGAGTTATTCAATCAGTAATCAATTAATTAATCGTAGAGTTATTCAATCATCAATCAATTAATTGATCATTGCGTTATTCAATAATCAACCAATCAATCTATCACGGAGTTATTCAATAATCGATCAATTAATTAATTATAGAGTTATTCAATCATTAACCAATCAACTAATCATAGAGTTATTCAATCATCAACCAATTAATTAATCATTGCGTAATTCAATAATCAACCAATCAATTAATCATGAAGTTATTCAATCGTCAATCAATCAATTAATCATAGTTATTCAATCATTAATCAATCATCTCATCATAGTTATTCAATAATTAATCAACCAATTAATCATAGAGTTATTCAATCACCCACCAATCAATTAATCATGAAGTTATTCAATTGTCAATCAATCATAGAGTTATTCAATCAATCATAGAGTTATTCAATCATCACCAATCAATTAATATAATTTAGAATAGAAAAGATAGATAGATAGATGTATAGATAGAAAGATGGATTGCCTTGATCTTTGTTCCGTCAGGATTAATACCCAACGGGTTAATTGGTCCAAACTGCTTCCCAAACATTCTACGCGGTTTCCTAGCCATACAGTACTAAACCGAACCTTCACAGTACTAAACCGAACCCATACAGTACTAAACCGAACCTTCACAGTACTAAACCGATCCCATACAGAACTAAACCGAACCCATACATTACTAAACCGAACCCATACAGTACTAGACCGAACCTATACAGTACTAAACCGAACCCATACATTACTAAACCGAACCTTCACAGTACTAAACCGATCCCATACAGAACTAAACCGAACCCATACATTACTAAACCGAACCAATACAGTAGTAAACCAAACCCATACAGTACTAAACCGAACCCATACAGTACTAAACCGAACCCATACAGTACTAGACCGAACCTTTACAGTAATAAACCGAACCCATACAGAACTAAACCGAAACCCTACATTACTAAACCGAACCCATACAGTACTAGACCGAACCTTTACAGTACTAAACCGAACCCATACATTACTAAACCAAACCCATACAGTACTAAACAGAACCCATACAGTACTAAACCGAACCTTTACAGTACTAAATCGAACCCATACAGTACTAAACCGAACCCATACAGTACTAAACCGAACCCATACAGTACTAAACCGAACCCATACAGTACTAGACCGAACCTTTACAGTAATACACCGAACCCATACAGTACAAACAGAACCCATACAGTACTAAACCGAACCTTTACAGTACTAAACCGAACCCATACAGTCAGGATTAATACCAACGGGTTAATTAATCAAAACAAAACTAAACCTTGAACGTATTTAATATTTGTTCTAATTGAATTTAACTATGGCTAGGAATCCGAACCTAGGATAGCGTGTGTTCTTGTCTGGTCTAAAAAAAACATAATACAATATAAAAATTAACTGTTTAAAAAATTTATACTTTTTCTCTGACAAACTTCACATCAAAATAAAATGAAGATGAGAGCAGAAAATACATAATTATATAATATGTTTTACCACAAAATTTATTTCAGATCTATTTACCTAGTATCCATGTAATGTCGAATGTTCTTCTTTGCCACGTTTATTAATTTCTTGTCAATATCTAAATTATCAAATATCAAGTTTAAGAAATTTCATTGTCTTTGAGAAAACGGTTAAACTTTTGAATGAATCTAGTTGGATTAAAAATTATAAGTTTATAGTACTATTTTCATGTATTCACAAAATTCGTAAAAATACTTTAATACAGATTTAAGGGGGGGGGGGCAATAATTCAAACACCTCTCCCTTATTTATGTAGTTCTCTGTTTGGAAATGTAGGACTTGTAATTCCTGAAGAATTGTCACCATACTTTTTCCTTACAGTTGAGATAAGGTTTTTTTTCTTTCAGGAAATCCCCTTCCCCCCCTCCCCTACTTCTGGTAAAGAAACTGAACACTTGCTTGAGCTCTATTAAATATCTAAATTTGTGCAACCTGATGGTGTAAACCATAGATATTATTAACGTTGATTGATTAGATAATAGTTCAGAAAATTGGAACTTGTGGCAAGTGTTCACTTCCCTCTGAGTACAATTACCTATTCCTAGAATACCACAGGGGGAGAACTTCTTCCCTATTGTTATAGTCACGTGACCTGAAAAAGATCAAAGATGGATATATCGTAGTCAAGGTTTGATGTAATTTTTTCGCTGGGGTGTTATGCAGTACGTTAGACATTGGACCCTGGAACTTACAATTTGTCTTTGGTTTTCGTAAAGTTAATAGATGTCTTATGTCTTATAGAAAAACATTGTAAGTCTTTAAAACTTGATAAGATTTAGCCTCCTTCTTTGTATTATTAAAATTGTTGGAGATACTACAGATTTAAACAACCTTGCTGATATTTAATATTTTGAATTTTAAACAAAATTCTCAATATCTTGGTCAATTCTTCAGGTACAAAAACGGCAGAACTTCAGGGCCCACTATCTACCAAAGTTCTTCTCTAATTTGGACCCTGAACTTCACTTCAAACTCTTTTAAAAGTACAAATTATTTTTATAGAATGAACAATAGCCAGAATAAAAATTTGTTATAGTAAAACCTAAAATTTGCTATGCAGAGGTTTTAGAAATTTCCTAAAAATATCTAGGGTCCACTGAGATATAACAGCTGCGTAGCCCACCGATAAAGGTACATGTAAACTAGCCCAGAATAGTATAGATCGGTAGATAGAAGAATACACATAAACGGGCCGTGCCTTAGACCCAGCAGCATCAAAATCATCAGAACTGAAAACTTAAGAATGGATATCCTTAATCCCGATCACTAATCTGAGTATCCAATGTACATTTTGATTTTTTTTTCTTAATCCTTCATTTTTTATATCCTTACTGTATGTATTAAAGTTACGTTTTATAGCAATTACGGATGCAATGCTATATCAATTGGACTAATATCAGATTGAACAATTACGTTCAAATGCAAAGTCAGTCCATTTGAACACAAGAGCATTGGAACAAAATAAAAATTCATTACGTTCAAATAAATTTATTTTAAACGTTAGTCCAAATGAACATTGGTTCAATCAAACATTAGTCCAATTGAAATGAAAAGTATAGACAAATCAAAAACCGAGTTTTCAAAATTTCCCAACTTCTGATACATCATACGCCATGAGTTCAGGCGCGCAGCTAAGGGGGGGGGGCCAGGCCCCCCCTAGCCTGATTAAGGGGGCGCATGCCCCTCCCTTAAGAAGTGACGAAGTCCACCCTGTTTTGCAATTTAGCGATTCATGAATCCTGACCCTGAGCAAATTTAAGAGCTCTTATCGTAAAATAAAAAAAAAGATAATTGAACTTTAGATTATTGAGCTTATAGTTCAATCGATATAGCACTTAATTATACACCATATACAGTATACACACACACAGACCCCCTTCGTCTCCGAGACTAACTACTGCTGTAGATCAGAACAGGTTGACAAGATTCCAAGGTGCCTTAGTCTTTGTTTTTTTCATTATGCTGTTTTTTCCTGGGAAAGGGAAAGGGGGTTTATTAAGTATTTTTTAGATATTTTCACTATCAGTTCTGCCACTTATTAAATGATATTGCTTTAATACTGTAGTACAACTATTAAATTAATCCTACATGTTCACCGCAAATATTGTGTGATGTGTCATATTAAAAAAAAATATATTTTTCATGTAAAAACATGAATTTTTAATGAAAGGCATTTCTTGTCAGTTTCTGAGTACAATGTACATATTTGATTTATGGATAACTAAAGAAAATTTATAAATATATATATATGTAATAATTGTAAATTAAATATTTTTGTGATTTATACAGGGTGTCCCAATAAACATGGGAATTCAGTGACGAATTCAATATAGACATTATAAACACATCTTTGCAGTGTTTTACCCTTTTCATAAAATAAATTCTAGCAGACATAATAATATTATGGGAATTCATAACAAAGACGATATCGAATTCGTCATTGCATTCCCATTTTTTTGGGACACCCTGAACCAGAATAGATTTCTTTTTTATTTCATATCAGATATGTTGACTTACTGAATATCCGGTTGGTAAAGTTTGTTTTTTATTGTTTAAGTATAACACACATTTTTCTTGCCCCCCCCCCCAAAAAAAGTTTAGGGGGGGGGGCCAAAAAAATTTTCGCGCTTCGCGCAGAATATTTCCCCCTAGCCCCCCCCCCTAACCAAATGTCTAGTTGCGCGCCTGCATGAGTTTAATATACTTTTTAGGATAGAAAAACAAGATAGGGTTAGTCACGAGATAAAGAAAAATTGAGGATCAACTATGATCTTGATATCCACCATTCTAAAGTTTTCAGAGCTGAAAACTTTAGAATGGGATATCTTTAATCCCGATCTGTTAATTAATCTGGAGATTAAGTTCATGAGGAGTATAAGCAATATTTAATCTGGAGATTAAGAAAAAGAGTGGATCAAGCATTAATCTTGATATCCACCATTCAAAAGTTTTCAGCTCAGCACAGATATATTTTCAAAACTTGATTTTTGATACGTATTCTTGTCAGAATTTCGAATTTTTTACTTTTAAACTTAAATGAATGTATGCGGAATAAACAATGAATTCTTCATAGAAATCGCCTTCTACAACATTGAAATCGGGTAGAAAAAATTTAAAAAATAAATGCTTCTTGTTACCTATGTTGCATCCAATATCAAGAACCTGCTTACCATGGAACCATTCTTCTTTCAGATATTTAATTCTTTAACACAATCAAAACTTTATAAAAAAACAAACTTTCTATAAAAAACCTGATATTCTTTAACACAATTGAAACTTATATAAAAACTTGTGGTATTCTAGCTTTAGATTTCTGAGGAAACTAAATTTTTAATAAGACGGGAAAAGAATTTCGGAAAAAAGTTAACAGCAATAAATATTTTATCTTAATGAACAGCTTAAATAATAATTAATGCAATAATAAAAATAGTAATTAAGATAATACAAGCAATTATAGTAATAGTAATCAAAATAATCTCGGTTCAAAATTAATAATAATGTTTTGTTTGAATTCCTTGCATCTTGAGCTTGTCCTGGGTTTCTATACCCGTAGTATTGATTATAGTTCCCGTATTGAAACCTCAATGCATCCTTCTTTCGTCCATCTTCTTTTTTATCCTCTGCTTTACTTTCTTTAGATTTCTCTCCTAAACATCGTAAATTAATCTAGATCCAGTGCTTAGGATCCATTTAATTTTGATGCGGATCTGGATCGTGGATCCGCACTGAAAAAAAATGGATCCGGATCCAGGTCATTTCTTTAAGATGTACTGAATCAAAAAAAAAAATCAAATTTTTTGTTTATTTTTTTCGCTTACTTTCATCCTAAAACTTGATACACCATTCAGAAATGAGGAAATTTTTATAATCTCTCTTTTTTCAAAAGCCAAAATCTTGCGGATCCAACGGATCCGAATCCTAAGCACTGTCTAAATCTATAGACATTTTCTTTGTCGTTTGTTTGGTTTCAATGAACATCAAATCGGCTGAACCGATCGTGCCCAAATTTTGTTTCGAGACCCAACAAGACACTAGGGTAGGTAGGATTTAAAAGTTTTGCTTACAAACATTTCTAATTGGAATAATCTTGTAATCCCCACATAAAAACTGAAAAATCGGCGAAATCTTAATTTGATTTTGTTAGTATAAAAATATCATAAAAATTCCAAGTTCATTATGAAGTACAAAGAGATCCTAGTAAATATAACTAAAACCCTCGAAGTGTAATATTTTAAAATTATTAAAATCATAATGAAAATATATATTTTCTATTTTTACCTTGAGTTCCCTTCGCTGAACTGGAATTACTAGTTGATTTTTTATCAGCGTTTAATCGTTTTATTCCTATGTTCAAAACGTTTAATTATCATAATATTCGGCGAAAAACTGATGACTTTTACCAAAACAATTTAAACTAGATATTCATTTAACTACCTAGGACTTGATGTTAAATTTTTTTATTTGTTTAAGAGGCTGAAGAAGAATTTCAGATATAAATTATAGGATTCTGTAGTGCTTAAGTTTGCTCTTTTTACTCTTTGTACAGTGTACACTGGCAAAAGATAAGAACTGAAACAATATTACAAATCGTTCTAGCTTATATTTTGGCTCTTCCTCTATGCCAGAGTAATTCTGAATTCAAACTTATAGATCAATTTTAGTCCTATCAAAAGATATCTTTAAAATCAAAATCCTTAAATTCTCAAACATCTTGTTACACTTGGAATAAACTTGAGATTTATTTATTTTATATCCTAGTTTTTCTAGTGTGAAAACTGTTCTGTTCTGACATTTTCCACCGTTAGCAATCCGCAATTGTCACTTCTGTAGAGAAACAACAATTTAAACGAATTAGGTTTTAAAATCAAAATCATGAAAATCTCAATTATGCATGCTTGATTATATAAAGCTTATAAGGAAACCCTTGTGAATCGGATATGTTCCTAATCTTATGGAGATTCACTAGCAGTAGTAACTCAAAAGAAAGAAAAAAGTGTATGCTCTGAATTCACGATTTAAAATCATTTTGAAAACAGTAAGGAAATTGAGAAATATCATTGGGACTGAATACTTTGATAATTATATTTCCGTCCCTAGATCTTTATCCTCCTCCTCTAACTCCGAAACGTCTGCGTCCCCTGAAACATCAGCCGGAACTGGACCTGGAACCTGCGCCAGATCAAGCACCGGAAGCGGTTTTTTCGGCCGTTTCCGGTGACGAACCTTTCTCTTCTTTGTCATGGGAGAAATAAGTTTAGCGGCGAAATCAGCGTCATCTGTTGTAGCGTTGAGGTTGAGAGGGTCTGATATGTTTGGTGGGATAAGAACCTCTATCTTGTATTCAACTTTCCTACAAGATATATACGTTTTATTAAATCAGGGTTTGAAATTCTTGGATGTGATTTAATTTTCAAAATAGTTAATTTTAAGCAGCTCATGTGAGCAGGGAGTAAGTGAATTCCGCGAATTTTTAACCTGTCACTCACCACTTCTTTGAACACCAATAAAAGATAAATAAATATTTAATAAGTTCTGTTCAGCTTAAGAGCTAGTTGAATTAGTTATACCTGGTTCAACTAGTTCACCCTAGAATATCAAGTTTTGTCCTTATTTAAAATATAAAAAGGTTGAGGGATTGATGTGATTTTTGAAGATCTTGGGGAAAAATGAAAAATTGGACATAAAGGACATTAAGTCGTATTTTTGACAAAAAGCACTATTTCTCAGATCCGTTCAAACCCAAATAATCCATGTAATAAGACATAATTTTAATTTCGCATGCAAAAAATCAGCCTCCAACGACAATGCTAAGTTATGTTGATACACTGTTTAAAATTCCCGGAGAGTAATACGTTTTATACCCCCCCCCCCCCCTCTCCTTTATCCATTCTTTTTGATACTTTTTATAGAAAATTTATTTATTTTTCCCAATTCAGCGATTAAAATCCTAAAAAATTGACGCTCCGATCAAACAAATCTACCTTCTGTGGGGAGGGGGGGGGGGTGATTTTTAAAGAAATTATTTAATATACAGTAAACACACCCCTGATCTAACCTGTGTTTCGGAGTAGGCAAAGGAGATGATTCCGGTGTCACAGCATTAACTTTTGAACAAACAGAATTTTTTAAATTTTGCAGAATCAAAAGATTTGTAAAAAAATTCAACTAAAAATTTGCAGAATCTTGTGAAAAAACTAAAAAATTTATAATCAAATGATTTCAGAAAAAAAAACCCAGCTCTAATTAAATGATTCATGAATATCTTACTAAAAATTTGGAGAACTTGCATGTACTGATTTTATCAAATTAGTTCCGTTCTTTCCTAATCTAGCAACTTTCTCATCACTAAGACTATTGAGGTTTAATGGATCATGAATATTCCCTCCAAGGAGGAACTTGGATGGAAGCACGTTACTAGCCGGAGGACCTCCGCCACCCCGCCCTCGGCCTCCGCCACCTCGGCCCAGCTTCCACCGCTTGACCGAGGCCGGGTGCTTGATGTGACCCTCAGTGAAACTGTAACTACGCTTTCGAGCACCTGCCCGCATGACCTTACTCCTGTAGAATGAAGGATACTTTAAAAACCTTGTTTATAAAAATTTTTATTGTATAAGGGACTGTAAATGTAATTTCAAGGGACCCTCCATCAGAAGAGAGCATACCGGATTCAAAACGGTATCCTTGAAACCTAATCAAAGTTGTGAAAGTTAGCTTTGTTATTTTAGCTTGAAAAGTCCAGTATTCTGATAATTCCTAAATTGTTTTCCTTTTGTGACTTTTGGAGGTAAACTACAATTAAAAATAATCATTTTTCAAAATTGTAAACATTTCTATCTAATTCGTACTTGATAAGGCAATGCTTTCAGGGTACTGTTGTGAATCATGCCACTCTAGAAATGAAGAGTTACTTGAAATTTCGTCGACATCTAGAATGGAACGTCATGACGAGGAAAAAGACAAATTTTGATAATTTAAAGTTGAAACAACAAAGACATCTTCTTAATTTTTGCAAAGATGAAGGTTTGTAGGTTACCGAAGTGATTAGATTCTGATGTTCTTAAACGTAAATTTAGTCACTTTATCATATTTTTCACCAACCTTTCTGGAAGCCTAAAATCATTTTCAAGATTTGATCTTTCGTCGTCACCACTTAAAGTTCCTCCTGACCGTCTTTTTCTGAACAAAAAATAAACAATTAATTAAAAAAGAAAAGTATAATAAATGATAAATGAGAATGTATGAATACTGAAGATCAGGGTTATATATTTTCTGCAAAATCAATCCCCTCCCTCCGCCTGAAAATAGAATTTTCTGTTTCATTTTTCTCCAGAGCAACAAAATCATTTTACTCTCCAGTGCAGGGGAAGGGGGGGAAGCGGTGTTTGTTTTTAAAAATATAAACCCCTATGGGAAGAATTTAAACAACATTTATCTTCCTTCCAGAAGCAGTATACTTTTGGAGTTCCTGTAACCAGATTTAATGAGTAGCGTAGTTGAACTACACTTAGTTCATTCACTTCTCTTCAACTTGAACCGCCTACACAACTCTACCTGATGGGACTACTTCTCATCAATTCTTAAATCTATTACCTTGTGTATCTTTCTTGACAATAAACATTTATTTATTTTTTTAAATTAGGATAAAAATCTACATTTAAAAACAATTGTTTAACCTGACTTGGCGAGGTTTCTTCGCATCCGAATCTTCAAAGGTTCCGGCAAAATGAACTTTTCGACCATCCTGATTCAGAGAAATATATATAGAAAAATAAATTGATGGGATGGATGGGGGGGGGGGGGGTTAAAATAAATACATCTGGCCTTGCAGATAGTTCCACCCTTTCACAAAAAAAAATAATAATAAACCAACGAACCATCGTCATTTTTACCCCATCCAGAGCGTCGGTTAAAGATTTCTTTATTTAACAAAGTAAAATTCTTCTATATATAGGTATTCTTCAAGCAATGCAGATGAATAAATCATATCTATATATATACTTTGCTCGTCTGTCTGTCTGTCTGTCATTTTGTATCAAATAAACCGATCGGGCCCAAATTGTGTGGTTCCTCACATGTTCCCAGGGAATGATAAAAATGTCAAAAATTTGCCTGCAACAAAATTAAGTTGTCATTAACATATGCAAATCCGCGAAATTTTGTTAATAAAATCCGCTCACTTTTTGTTTGTTTTTGTTTTAAATATATACAAAGAGAAAATGTTAACAATAAAAATAAAAGATGGATGCGAATGCCCTGTAAGTCTAGTTTCATAAAAAGCAGAAAATTGAAGATTCAATTTTTTTTTAATTAATTGTAAATAATCTGAAGTGTCACCCCTTTGCGACAATTTATCGTTTCCATATAGCCTTCATCTCGCAATTTACTCAATGTAATCAGCCGACATGTAAAAATATTACATTTTGGGAAGAAATCCCAATAAATCACAGATGTTAACAAAATTTTTGCAACTATTGCCCCAGTGAACGAGAATGTTTGCTCATATTAGCAAAAAAATATGATGCTTAGGTTATTATAGATACCATGACATCTTTAAAATATTAAATTAACGCTGCATTTCTCTATAATAAGCATTAAAAATTAATGACATTTTGCCGGAGGATATAGGGGCGCGGCTAAGAAAGCGCTAGGGGCGAGCGCGTTGCCGCAACTCTATGTGTGTGAGTAAATTGCGGGATGGAGGCTATACGGGTGCGGTTTGCCTTCCCCACCCCCCTCTTCTGGGCATGTCGAAAGTTAAATATCACTCAACAAAATACAAAAATATGATTAATTAATTAAAATTGTATTTGGTCCAAGTCAATTAAAAAATAAATGAGTTTTTGAGTTTCTTTCCTCGTTTTGAATCTTTACTTTTGTCATCTTTAGATTCGTTATCGTCAAACTTTTTCCCGTTTCCATCCGTTTCAATTTTCTTATTTTCATTTCCCTCTTTATTCTCCATCTTCTTATTTTCATTTCCATCTTTACACTCGATCTTCTTGGATTTGTCCTTGACGTGTTTTCCATCCACCTTCCTCTCACTTTCTCCTTGTTTTCCTTCCACCATCTTCTCGCTTTCTTCTTGCTTGGATTCAACCTTCCTCTCACTTTCTCCTTGTGCTCCTTCCATCTTCTTATTACTTTCTCCTTGATTGGCTTTTATCTTTTTCTCGATTTCTCCATCTTTATTTTCTAACTTCTTCATGCTTTCTCCTTTAGAATCAAGCTTCTTTGGACTTTCTTCTTTAAAATCCATCTTTTTCTTTTCAACACTTCCCTGCTCTGTTTTCTCAACTCCTTCTCCCTTCATTTTATTGATTCTTATTCTGATTCATTTTAAATCTAAATTATCTGAAAAAAATCGTATTACTCATTGATGTGCTTAATGTACTCTGACCCCCACAAAATTCACACTTAAACCAGCAGTTAGATCAAAAATTGTCTTAGCCAGCGTTACTTTCCTATTGGATAGCATATTCTTTCCTTCAAATCGCTTTTTGGTAACTTCCTAGTATACTAGGACGGACCCCGCTTTTTGGACCCACCTTCGCACCATTCAAAATCATCAATATTCCTTAATATTCTGGAAATTTCCTAGAAAACGATTTTTGGACCCCCCTCCTTTCAATTTTGTACATGGATAACACATGGATATAATTGATCATGTGGCCGCAGCGCCCGGCCCCCTAGCCTCTCCTTGCCGCGGCGTTCGGCTCCCAAGCATGTCCTAGCCGCAGCGCTCGGTCCAGAATGTGTCTTAACCCAATCTAACCTAAAATAATAAGAAATAAATAATAATATTTTTGCTGAATATGAAAAATAAGTGGCCATATACAAAATTGATAGGAGGGGGGTCCAAAAATCGTTCTCTATGACGGACTTAATGGGTCTGTCCTAGTATACGATTTTTGGACCCCCCCCCCCCCTCCTATCANTTCTGGGCCGAGCGCTGCGGCTAGGGGGCCGAGCACTGCGGCCACACTTTCTAGGCCGAGCGCTGCGGCTAGGATGGGCTAGAGGGCCGAGCGCTGCGGCCACGGGTTAGGTTAAGTTGAAACACTTCCTGTCAGACCCATGTACAAAATTGATAGGAGGGGGGGGGCTGGGGGGGTCCAAAAATCGTATACTAGGAAATTACCGGAAATAACGGGATAGCTAGTATATCTCAGTGTTCACCACCACGATTCATACTGAAACCCAATTACCATTAGCTCTCCCTACTACCCTACCTCCCCAAACCCTACTTTATTCATACAAGTTGCAGCTTCAGATACTAAATTGTGCTAGTTGCAACTGCGCTTTCACAGATTTAAAAGATTTTTCATAAAAATGTTTGTTCACAAAAATTTATTTTGTAGTCTTAAACAATTGAATTTTAAAATTGAATATTTTCACTCTTTCCTGAGGTGAAATTAAGACGATGAAGAAAAGTAATTTGTGTTGAAAATGCAGAAAATAAAAACGTTTTCAGAAGTGTACGCAATGTACTGCGTAACCTGATCAAACACAGAAACTTGCTCACGCAACCTCGAGTTAATTATATCTTTAAATGCAACAAATAAAGTTTTATTTTCAATCTTTCAACAGAAAGTACAATGCAGGAACCTGAACCTGTGGCATATTCAAGGGGGGGGGGGTAGACATCTTTCCCCCCTTTAACTGGCTTAAATCCAGAATGCGCGCGCCAGGAGCTTATGCCAAAATCTCACAAAGAATTTGAATAAAGGGAAAAGAGAACAAAAACAGTAATATTGCTCAATTGTTTATTTTTCGTGCCAAACATTTTAGCAAAAATAATATTTTTTTTTGTAAAACAAGAATTGAAGGTTGGCGAGCTTTTCACCTTATTCCCTGCCAACTTTAATGTCTGTATAAAGAAAAGATACAGAGAGGACCAGAAAACTTTGGAATTGTATTAAATTGCAAAAACTTACGTGTTATAATTGATGTTGTTACAAACCAAATAATTTTACTAGTACTTTATTATTAGAGCATTTTTTAACAATTTTATTTTTTTATTTTAAAAAGGTTTTTATAAAAGATAATTACAAAATTGTACAAAATTATTTTAATAGTATTACAGTATTCCACTTTGAGATTCTTGGGGGGAGAGGAATTCAAGGACTCCGAAAACGACTCAAACGACAAGTGGGAAACAGCACCCAAACATTTATTTTTGATATATTCAAAATATTCATTGGTTCACAACTCTGCTAATCTCTGCATTTTTTAAAATTTTGTCTGATATTTCTGGTTTGTTACAAGAAAGTTTAGCTAAATTTATCTTTCTAAATTCAATATCTCAACTGCTGACACTGAACCCATAAACAATCATGAAATAATAACCCTTGCAAGTTTTCTGGAATTATATATTTGCTATCTCAGCAGGTTTGTAGATTGTTGAATGTAGATAACTATAATGCTAAATGTAGATCTATACACAATAATCATTTAATGTGTATGCTTCCTAGCTCTGTTGCAGGGTGGGGAAAGAAAAAAGAACACTCCACCAAACGTGGAATATAGAAAATTTGAAGGACCCAATGTTAGAATTTTCACTTAAAAATAATGACAAATGCAGTGATAAAAGGAGTTTTGGCTAGGAGTAGATTATCAACAGTTGGAGTCTTGAAACTGAGATTTAATAACATTTTGGGCAGTACTTGTAAATGATACTTGTACTTGATGCTTCTCCACATTAGTAAGCTCTGTGGTTGATGAATATTTGTATGTTTCCCATGGGTTGTAGGTTTAACTTAAAAACTGACTCACCAGACCTGTTTCTAAGTCGAGCTTTTTCATAGCAAGCCTAGACCCAGAGAGGTAAAAAACCTCTGTTCTCCAGGGTAATACAGCGTTGACAGATGAATGCAGGCATTCCTTGTTGATTATCTGTTTTCCTCATCAATGTCTCATCAAACCTTAAGTTTCTTATGTTTGTACGTTTACTTGGATTTGATATTTTTCTCTGTCGCCCTGCAGTACTCCTAGTTAATGTTAGAAGCGTCTCTGCAAAGACCTAGGTTCTGCTTTGAGGAAAGCTAGAGTTGAACTGTTATTAGAGCATTTATTAAGGGAATCGGGTTTGTATACATTGCACAATTGCTATGTCTGGCTCATGTTCATTGGAATATTCAAAGTCATGACTTAGGACTTAAGGTAGTATTTCTATTCCAGATCTTTCTGGTTTTCACTGTAAATCATGCACATCTTCAACTTCAGCCCCCCTAAACTCCCTAAACTGCTTAAACTCCCTAAACTCCCTAAACTGGGTGCTTGCAGAATACTTTAGCTGTATTTTATCTCAAGATTTTAAGTCGACTGACCATATTGTTACATTTTGCCATATATAAGTGGATGAAAAGCATTTAATTTAGACACACTTGTGAATGTTTTTTATAGAATTGCTCTAAAATGTATGTGTCTAGGGCTACAAAAAGTATTTGTGAGTTAGTCAGGTAAAATCAAAGGTCAGAGCAACACTTTAAAGTCGACCCAGTTTTGAAAATTGATGCAATTGTTTCAAATACAAATGAGTAAACAATTGGTAACTAAACACAAAACAAGTTTGCGAGAATTGATTTAAAACCATGTTCCTTCTCATAAAAAAATAACGATTAATTTCAGAAAATACTGAATCGTTAAAATTCAAACAAAAGTAACCTTTGACATATTCATCTGGCTAAAATTTTGAATTTTTTGATTACATTACATGCTAAACACAAAAATGTTGCGAATATTGCAAAATGCTACGCCTACACCTCTGCAGTCTCCAGGCGCGTGTGGTGGGGGGAGGGGGGGAGGTGATTTCTAACAAAAACTCTACTGAATTAACAACCCCCACATAAAAACCTGCGCCTATAATTATTACTAAATGCATTAATATTTAGCGAAGGAAAGTCAAGTGTTCAAATTATTTTTTAATTACCTATAAACTCTTTCCATAAATATAAATTATAGACAGACAAATTAACTTTTTTAAAGAAAAGTGTTGATTTTGGTTAACAAGAAGATTAAAAAAATATATAAAAATATAAAAAAAAATAATATTAAATTCATATTAAGACTTTTGTATTTTTAAACAAATAAAAAGTTTCAGTTTTTACGCATTATGAATTATAGAAAATATTTCTGCAACCTTTTTTAAAACACCTTGAAAGCAATTTTATAATTTATTGAAGCTTAATATTTTCAGCTGGTGAAAAGTTATATGGATTTGAGGGGTTTGTTCAGTAGGTTCAACTTACTGCAATAGAATGAACTTCTTTAGGAAAATATTATTCGAAATATAAACTAATTTCATCAAACTATATCTAAACCAGCCCAAGTCAATATCATGTTCAGAATCTTTTTTTCAACCAAACTATATGATTTTGTCACCACTCATGTCCTTTGTCCACTGCTTATAAAAAGTGCAGTAATGATTGTTGTCTTATATCATTTTTTGATTATGAAGCGTCGCTCAAACTTTTGTAATTTAAAACCGATTAATTTTTTGAAAAAATGAACTTTGAATATTAAAAAAAAAATATATTTTTAATTTCTTTCCGAAATTTAATGATTTAAGGAAGAACTAAGATGACAATCATCCCATAGTTTTCTGGATCTCATGCTGTGCTTAATTCTAATCATAAAATGTCAAGATTAGAACAATTAAATGTTGACGTATCTGAAAATCTTCTAGAATCTAAAATGCCATTTACATTAAGACTAGTTTTTAGAGGCACATTATCCTGGAGATCGAAAATAATTTAAAATTACATTTTAAAAATACGGGAAAATGGTTAAAAGAAAATTAAAATTATATAATTTTGTCCTTTGGTATTCAAAAGTCTATGATTCCATTATAAACTCTCTTGACTCCTAAATCGACAAAATTTGCGCCTCTCCTACTTTTGCTTTACTTGGTTTTGTCAACCTACTTTAAGAAAGTCCCCCTCCCCCCCCCCTCGCGTTCAGAGCAATCGTGCCGATTGTTAATAATAATATTTTCGTCAAGTGTGATTTTCCTGCTATCCTTAGGAGTGTTTCAAGTCCAAGGAATATCCATGAAAACTATAAACTCCAAGGAAGCTTTAGATTATTTTCAAAAAATACAACCTAATTTTCAGCTTTTTTCTATGAACAGGGTATCTTGAAACAGGATGAGACAGTAAAAAGAATGTATTGGTGACAGTCTTTTAATTTACAATATTGTCTTTTAATATATTCTTGAAAAAATTGAATAATTAACCAGTTTATTTCACAAGGAAATAATTAATATGATGAATGAGTTTTTAAGTCTCATTATTTGTATGTACTTTTGTAATGTTGTACTGTAAAACAAGAGATATTCAATTCTTTTCAAACATTTTCTGTGTGTTCGAGGTTTTGATAATAAGTTCATGCAACTTTTTATAAGCCAATTTGTAAACGAACAGATGATTATAAAATAATAATGAATACGCAGGTAAAATTGTAAAATTGTATTGAATTTTTATACAAAATTGTCTCACTCCATACAACCCAGTTTCCGATACAAGGTTTGGCGGGTTTCATAACGATACTCTGTCTTATTATAATTATCAGACTTTGAAATCAAGCAGCTATTTACCTTTTATGTGAAAATACAATTTGTCCCACTTGACAAATGAGCTATAGAAGATTAAAGTTATGGCTAATCATTGTTAGAAATAATTGATAAAAAATGTATATAAAAGGGGTGAGCGACGTATGAGCTTTCCAAAATGTGGTCTAACTTCTTTACAAGTTTAAAAGTGGATAACTATCAGATATTTACTGTTTAGACGTTTTTGGTTTTGTTTGGATTGATTGACCGTAACCTGAACAAAATTTTACACGCGTCGATTAATTTTTAAAGCACGCAGGATCATCAAACAAATCTTTTGAATTTCACATTTAAAATACAGAAACAAATACTTTAAATATAATTTATTATAATTCTAAAGCTGCTCTAGGTTACAAGGATTAACAGAGAAGTGGTTGCAGCAACAAAAACTTTGACAAAAATCCAGGTTTTAATATACAAAGATTAAGAGGTTTAATACCAACTTCACGAATCCTAAAAACCAGCCAAATTGAGTACAAAATTCCAAGGCTGGTACAGCTGTGCTCGAGCTTGAGAGTAAATTAAAGAGTAAATACATAAACTGCACATATTAGGAGAAGCAACCCTGTGATGAGGGTGTAGAACCCATTTGAGAGCTCTTTAGAATTGAAAGAACTGAACAGTGCTGTAATTTGACATGCAGCATGCTATGTTTATGTTGATATAATTAGTACATCCATGTTATTTTCAGGAGGTAACAAGAAATTATCACTTTGATGCTGAAGCATATTATTTGACTTAAAATTCAAAAGTTATAATCTTTTCATTTACAAGTATTTACCCCTTCACTACGACTGAGTTTTTGCAACAAACTCAAATTTTGTAATCTGTACTTCTCTGCAACCCAGTGGTGTAAACGTTAGATAAATCAAAGTTAGATTACTTGAACTAACAGAGTTCATAAGTTTGAAATATCTACAACATTGGATTGCCAAGATATTGGGATAACAAAATCAGAGTTTGCGACACAAACTCAATTCCTTTACCTGACTTTTGATATCGATAGCTTGGAAAGCCTCCATTTTGATTGCTGCCTATAATAGCTGTAGTTTTTGAAGAAAAAAATTGCGGATTTCTGAAATTATATAAGCAGATTTATTAGAATTACGGTTAATCATTTTTAAAGAAAAAAATTAAATGTAGCTTTGTCATTTAATTCATTCGAATTTATAAATTTAATATATATTTCAGACTGTTTTAAGATCTGCTTTAACAAATACAGATGCAGGCTCAGTCTTTGATGCTACATTGTCATCTACAGGTTTTAGAATGAATTATATTCAAAAGAAAACTATTTTTACAGTGATAACCAGAAAACAATGGAATAGAAACACGGCATTATACTTGATCGTATTAGATTTTGCTACAAAGCAAATAGCTTCTATAAATAAATTTGGCTTGTCTGTTTGTATCCAATAAACGTCAAAACGGCTGAACCGATCGGGCCCAAATTTTTTGGGACATCTAGGGACCCCAGGGAAGGTTTATGAATGATTGAAATTTTAAAAATTTGTGTTTAAAAGTTTTTGTAAAATTTTGAAAATGCGCGAAAAAATATTATGAAATCCGCAAACTTTTTTTGTTTTTGTTTTATACTGTACAAAGAGAAGATGCTCACAGATAAAGTCACAATTAAAAGTTTAAATAGAAGATGGGTGCGAAGCACCCTAAAAGCCTAGAAATTCAGGGCGCGAAGCGCCCTGAATTTCTAGTTAATAGAAACTTATCACATCACTTTTCTTCAAAATGTGCTCTATTTACAGAGAGATACGTCAAAATGTGCTCCCTTTACAGAGAGATACGTCAAAATGTGCTCTATTTACAGAGAGATACGTCAAAATGTGCTCTATTTACAGAGAGACACGTCAAAATGTGCTCTATTTACAGAGAGATACGTCAAAATGTGCTCTATTTACAGAGAGACACGTCAAAATGTGCTCTATTTACTGTGAGACACGTCAAAATGTGCTCTATTTACAGAGTGACGCGTCGAAATGTGCTCTATTTAATGTGAGACACGTCAAAATGTGATCTATTTACAGAGAGACACGTCAAAATGTGCTTTATTTACAGAGAGACACGTCAAAATGTGCTCTATTTACAGTGAGACACATCAGAATGTGCTCTATTTACAGTGAGACACATCAAAATGTGCTCTATTTACAGTGAGACACATCAAAATGTGCTCTATTTACAGTGAGACACATCAAAATGTGCTGTATTTACAGTGAGACAGATTAAAATGTGGAAGAAGAAGAAAACATTTAATCCAGCAATCTTTAGTGTATTTGTTGTTATTTTAAAGCAAATACTAGTATCTTGAACAATATTACTTTGAAGAGAAATAGGTCTGCAGACATGTGTATACACTGCACAATGCACAGTTGTTGTGTTTCAAGTTCATTGGACTAAAGTCATACACTGAGACTATAAACACCGTCTTTCTATTCCATATTTTATGGTTCTTACTGTACAATGTACATTGTACATGATACATACATGATACATAATCCACACTTATGTACAGGAAACAAATGTGGTCCCCAAATTATTACTGGTTGGACGGTCAACCTGGACCAGAAGATGCTGTATGCTGATACTGCTTTCTCTGCTGGAACACAGGTAGAAAACAGTGAGACACAGAAAACTGTCAAATAAGAAGACGACTTTTAGACTCGATTTATGATTCTAAATAAAGTCATTGTTAAAATCACTTAATTTCCCATGACTTCGGACTTTTTTCTAAAAATGAAAATTTCTTAAGTTATTTAATTTTTTAAATTCATCAATCAGAGTCTAAAACTAAAGAACGAAAAGTTCTGACTTAAATTTTAAGTTCATGGTTAAATGCCACTTCTGACTTAATTTAAACCTGAACTTTAACCATGAGGTTAAATATTTAACCCTGTGGTTAAATATTTAACTCGCCGAAATCGACGAGTTAAAATTTAAACAGAGGTTTAAATTATCTTGAAATCCTGCATTTTCCCTATTTGTATATTATTCAATCATCATTCAGCTGCAGCTGAGGAAGCGGCATTCTACTTTACGATATATGTAAAAGTGAAAACCGTGTTTAAGAAATTTCACGTTTTAGATAAATTAATTTTTGGATGTAAACCCAAAAAACGGTTGTAACTCGTAATATGTTTTATTTTCGGTTACGTAAGAACAGCTGATTAGCGATGGTTATGTAATATTCTCCGTAAATCCTTTTCTCTGATTGGTTCAGATTTTTCCCGGGAAATTCAAATTTGAAATTGAAAAAGTTTAATATTTAAGTAGCTATTCATTATTTTACAGAACTTTTAACCTCGAACTTAAAATTCGCGCATTCTTTAGTTTAGACTCTGGATTCTAAAAAAAGTATGTTTAGATGAGTTCAACAACTGGAAGGTTTACCCCTGCAGTCCGAGGATATTACAAGATCTGCGCATACTTCAGATTCCAGTAAACATTTAAAATAACAATTTTATACGCAAAATGTCAAAGTTAATGTTTCGAAGGAATTCATGAGTCTTTGCCACAAATTTTCTAAACCCTTTACCTTTGCAACCTGATGGTGTATACCTCTCATATTTCAAACTTTAATATTTAGATCCAACATAATTTATAGTTTGAAATATTTAAGGTCTACGACCATGGATTATAAAGATATAGGGGTTAGAAAGGGATTATTATAAAGAACAGGGGTTAGAAAGGGATTATTATAAAGATACAGGGGTTAGAAAGAGATTATTATAAAGAACAGGGGTTAGAAAGGGATTATTATAAAGAGCAGGGGTTAGAAAGGGATTATTATAAAGATACAGGGGTTAGAAAGGGATTATTGGTAAGATGCAGGGGTTAGAAAGGGATTATTATAAAGATACAACAGGGGTTAGAAAGGTATCATTATAAAGATACAGGGGTTAGAAATGGATTATTATAAAGATACAGGGGGTTAGAAAGGTATCATTATAAAGATAAAGGGGTTAGAAATGGATTATTAATAAAGATACAGGGGTTAGAAAGGGATTATTATAAAGATACAGGGGTAGAAGGTTATTATTATAAAGACACAGAGGTTAGAAAGGAATTATTGTAAAGATACAGGGGTTAGAGAGGGATTATTATAAAGATACAGGGGTTAGAAAGGGATTATCATTAAGATACAGGGGTTAGAAAGGGATTATTATAAAGATACAGGGGTTAGAAAGGGATTATCATTAAGATACAGGGGTTAGAAAGGGATTATTATAAAGATACAGGGGTTAGAAAGGGATTATTATAAGGATACAGGGGTTAGAAAGGGATTATTATAAGGATACAGGGGTTAGAAAGGGATTATTATAAAGATACAGGGGTTAGAAAGGGATTATTATTTGGATACAGGGTTTAGAAAGGGATTATTATAAAGATACAGTGGTTAGAAAGGGATTATAATAAAGATACAGGGGTTAGAAAGGGATTATTATAAGGATACAGGGGTTAGAAAGTGATTATTATAAAGATACAGGGGTTAGAAAGGGATTATTATAAAGAAACAGGGGTTAGAAAGGGATTATTATAAAGATACAGGGGTTAGAAAGGGATTATTATAAAAATACAGGGGTTAGAAAGGGATTATTAAAAAGATACAGGGGTTAGAAAGGTATTATTATAAAGATACAGGGGTAGAAAGGGATTATTATAAAGACACGGGGTTAGAAAGGGATTATTATAAAGATACAGGGGTTAGAAAGGGATTATTATAAAGAACAGGGGTTAGAAAGGGATTATTATAAAGATGCAGGGATTAGAAAGGGATTAGACACAAATCATTTACCTTAAAGAGACTGCAGCAGACGTTATTTCAAGTAATTCTTTATTTCTAAAGTATCGTGTCCGATTCTCACCCAACGATACCCGGCCTTTCTTTGTCTGATCAAGATCGAAAATATCAATTTTTCTTTTTAAATTGTTTATTTTTAACTTTTAGATATTCTAGAAAAGTAACTTGTCAAAATTAAACACTTGCCATCTTTGAAAAACGACGACTTCTGTTACATTTTGATGAGATAAAGGTTAAAAGGGTACTATTGGGAGTTGGTTATCACTGTAAACATTTCAAGGACCGGGCCGACTTTTAATTAGCATAGCAAGCAGTACAGTACAAATACAGACTATATGTGTTAGGCCCCTCTTTAAATGTTATAAAATGGCATTAGAATATACTACTATCAACATTGACAATCTTACACTGTAAAATCACTTTATACACAATACACAATACACAATACACAATACACAATACACAATACACAATACACAATATACAATACACAATACACAATACACAATACACAATACACAATACACAATACACAATACACAATACACAATGCACAATACACAATACACAATACACAATACACAATACACAATACACAATACAAAATACACAATACACAATACACAATGCAAAATACACAATTCACAATACACAATACACAATACACAATACACAATACACAATACACAATACACACAATACACAATACACAATACACAATACACAATACACAATACACAATACACAATTCACAATACACAATACACAATACACAATACACAATACACAATACACAATTCACAACACACAACACACAATACACAATACACAATACACAATACACAATACACATACACAATACACAATACATGTAGATTTAGATTTCTATTCTTTACATATGTACTACATTGTCCAGACTAGATACAGACTAAACATATTCTAGAAATTCTGGGAACGCCAATGATGTGACAATAAGGAAGAATGGTGCCATCATTGCTGCCTTTGGTAGTGGAATAGAGAGGGACTGGAGGAGCACTGGAACATGTGTTGTAACAACCCTCTCTACAACAGATTATGTTGACCTTTATCATCAGTCAGGCGGGTCATCAGATTGTATCCAGGTTAGATTTCAATAATGATCATTCGATGGTGTAAGAAGTTTTCTAATGAGAATGTTCTACAAAAACTGATTACTCACCTCAAAATAAAATTTTCTAATCCTTGTTAAGTGAGACCAAAAATTCGTTGATTAGGAAAACTAAATTTAAACAATTTTTAAACTCTCCACTAAAACTACATTATGTCTTTGGGCAGAGTGCTGCAAGCTGATCACTGCAGTACTTGTACCTAAAGGTTATAAACTATAGTTTAGGGTGTATGTAGTACTATGTATTTGATGTTATGTTATTTAGCAAACAGTTTTACCAATTACTTTAAGAAAACGTATCAAGTGAAACGGATCAGTGTACAGTGTACAGTGTACAGTGTGATATAAATGTTCATTAGACTATTTGAAAAAAAACCTTGAGTAAGTCTTTTTTCTAGTCGTAGATGTTTTAGCAGTATATTTTTGATATTTCTTTTCAATTCTACTAGATCTCAGTCAACATTTGAAATATCAAAGGTTTATAACATCTAGTTGCAAAGTATGTGAAATTAGAGTTTGAAGGGATCAGTTATTTCAAATTAAGATTTCAAAGTACGAATTGATGTTTTAACACAATGAAAAATAAATAAAATTTGTTGTCTTGTACACATTTCCACAATTCCTAAAATGGCCAATTTTAAAAATATGTTTTTGCATATTATATAATTACATAATGTCGTAATCTAGGAGACAAGCTACAAGTACTCGAGGTTTATGGGTCATCTTATTGCTTGCGATACTTCAACCTGTGCTTAACTTACAGAAAAAATATCAATTTTAAAAAAATTGATATTTTAATGTTTAAGTCATGTTCATATGTTGTATTTAGATTTATTATATTTTTATATTTGTGAATTTTGAACCCTTTTAATGTATTATGTATAATATGTATCTAAATGAAATATGTATACTCAATAAAGCATTTCGTAACATTAATTAAAGATTTATTTTTCATTTTTAATAAAAAACTGAACTAATGCATTTACGGTTTAAAGGGACTGTTAGGGAATTTCAAGCGAAACTCCATGCAAAGATGGGAATGTCCGATTCACAACACTACCCTTCAAGGCAATCCTTCTAATCTAGTAATCAACAATACGGAATATATTGTTATGTTTAGTTCTAATATTTCTTATATGGTTTACTGCAGTAAATATGTATGCGCATATAGTAGAGAAACCATATTTGATATAAAAATTGAATATTTAAAAAAAATTTAAACATTACATTAGTATCTAATTAATTCTTGATCAGGCAAAGCTTTTAAGGTTACCGTTTTGTTGAATGCAGGAGGGTACATTTATGATATACAGTCATAACCAGAAAACTGTAGAATAGGAAGACGACATTATAGCATTTCTGAAGTGCATTTGATGTTGTTTAAAGTAAATAGCTTTACTTGAAAGTTATTAAATTATTTATTAAAATGGGTCTGTTTACGTTGCACAATTGCTGTGTCTCATGTTCAATGCGGTCGCTATTAAAAGTCATAACTTGAGTTTAAAAGTCGACTTCCTATTCCAGAGTTTTCTGGTTATCACTGCACTGTATGAAAATTTATATATTCACTAACTGTCATGTCGAGTTGGAGATTTGTTAAAAAAGATGCAGTACATCCTTATTGTATAGTCTTCACTCCCACATTGAGGCAATGTAACATTTTGGTTTTTGTTACTCTTTTAATGTTACCATGTGGTCTGTAACAAAAATGCACAGACATACAGAGTACAGACAAACATTATTACATACATATAAGACGGTATGCATGCTTTAAGAAACTAAATCTGCAAAACTGTTTAAAAGAAAAATCTTCAAAAACAATTTAGATAGTTATGCAAGTTATATCTTTAAACAAATAACTGTTTCTCATGTGGATAAACTTAGTCTTTGCTATCTTCTTCACCCTGTAGTTCATAAACATGATTCTAATAATATATGTTACCCTCTGTTACAACCCTTCCGCTGAGTACCCACCTCCCTCTTTTCCTTTATATTTTTTCACCGCCTCCTTACCTTATTCCTGATTTATCATCATTGTTTTGTTTAAAGTGTACACTGTACACTGTACACTGTACATCCATCTATTTATTTACTTTAGCTCGTTTTTAAACAAATCCCAACCCTACTCTCTAGCACTAGAATTATATCATTTTCTTCTCAATATATTTCGCCAAAAACTATTTATTTACAATTCTTATTCGCTTATAATGGGCCAACCAATCAAAACAACCAACTCTGGTTATGCGGATCCAAACTACATAGTAAATTGTGATTTTTTATTTGTATTATCTCGTGCTTTGTAGTTGAATAAAAATATGAAATGAAAAAATAATTTAAGATCAATTATTTTAGTTGCGAAAATAAAATCACGAAACCTTGATTTTCTATACGGAATAGAATCACCCAACCTCATCTTAATTCTCGCAAAAATATACAGGGTTACCCCCAGACTCCAGATACGACTGTACGGAATGTTTACTGTCTGTTTCATTATATTCGTAAATCACTGTAACTATAAAATTCATTTAAAACCCAAATTTAAGGCAGAAGACTTAAATTAATCTAAACTTGGAATTGGCATATTTTGAAAATCGTCTTTACAGTCTCATCCTTTGTGAGTAACCCTATAGTTCTATCACTCCATAATCATAGGCTGCTTTTAGTTTAACAATTCAAAAACTATAACATCTGTATAATATACTTAGAAATGAAAAATTAAAATTAAAAATACTAAGTTCAAATGAGATGAGAGTGAAGAGTAATTATTTGAGTATCTAATTTAAAGTTTATTAGTATTAAACATTTTTTTTGTTTGTATGTGAACTTGTAGTACATTGCTCTAAAATGCCGTTTTAACCTTCAAAAGAAGGCCTAATATTCGAAAATATTATTCTGAATCTGATATGGATTTTATACTTGTTCATTCTCGATATTCCTGTCAATTCATTACTTGACCTCTTTTCTTTTCTTTCACTCTGTTTCCTGTTCCGTTAGAATCGTAACTTTTAATTACTAACGTGTATGTCCCCAANGACTGTTTGTCTTTCTTTCTTTTTGCTTATTTTTCTGTCTTATCTTAATCCGAACCACGAAGTCAACTAGAAGTAGCACTTAAAGAGCAGGTGTTCACTACTCACTCTCATGGATCTCGGTATTCTTGGTATACCGCAGCTACTGGTGTACAAGTTTACTGGTATACTGGTATACGGACAGTATCAATAACATCAATATTCTAGACTTAAAGACGACATTTGAAATTTCAACATTTCTGTTTTCTATTTGGTTTCCATGCCATCATTTTTTCCATTGGTGTCCAACATAATTCAACATAAGATCTGATACTGGATTTGTAGATTTATTAGGATAATGCCTATACAACTGTAGAATGGGCTAGAGATACTGAAGCAGTGGGAGATGGGAGGGAAAAGAAATAGAGAGGGGACAGGAAGGGAGAGAGATAAGAGGGGACGGAAAGACTTTGAGATATGATGGGACGGAAAGACATGGAGCAAGAGGGGAAAGGAAGGACAGGGAGGTGAACGAGGGACGGGAGGACCAGGAGATATGATGGGACGGAAGGACAGGGAGATATGATGGGATGGAAGGATATGGAGATAGGGGGGAAGGAAGGACAAGGAGATATGATGGAACGGAAGGACAGGGTGATATGATGGGACGGAAGGACAGGGAGATACGATGGGACGGAAAGACATGGAGATATGATGGGACGGAAAAACATGGAGATATGATGGGACGGAAGGACATGGAGATATGATGGGACGGAAGGACAGGAAGATATGATGGGACGGAAGGACAGGGAGATATGATGGGACGAAAGGACATGGAGATATGATGGGACGGAAAGACATGGAGCAAGAGGGGGAAGATAGAGGGGGAAGGGAGAACAATGAGGTAGACGAGGGACGGGAGGAGAACAGAAGGGAAAAGGGGGAGATGGAAGAGAAATTACAGGGAGAAGGGAAGATTGAGAACTAATGTAGATACACAAGACAGGTAAAAATGGGGATATAAGCCAGTGTGGTATTATTTCAAAATAATAAGTAAGTATAAGTACTAACTGCTCTCTAGTTTCTGTGGGTATAATTGTTGCCATAAAACTCAAGTATTACCTTAAGTAGGTTCTAATCTAATTACAGACTACAGTAGATCTGTTTATTTACTTTTAATATTCATTCGTCGTAAAATAAATAATTTTCTTTAATGATTCATCTAATTTTTTTCAGATTTGACTTTTACGAGTTTATTTCTGTCAGAATATGGAAGACGTGATGTTTAAAATAGAAAATGTCAAAACTTAAAATACTCCACTTAAACTTAACTCAACAATTAAAATGTATGAAAATGCCCCTTCTCTCGTCTTTTTATTGCTCGCACTCATTCTCCACCCCCCCCCCTGTGCACCCCCATATGCAGATCATTTTTTGTCGCAGTTTCCCCAAAAATTGAAAATACTGAAATCTTTCAGAATTTCTGTATTGAAATTTGAAAATTTGAAAGCTGGACCCCCCACATGGCACATACCATGGAAACTAATATTTCCCTTCTCCCACATTAATAACTAATATTATTCGTCCTAAAAGGAATTGAGTCTTTGCCACAAACTCAAATTTTTTAAGTCCTTAATCTTTGCTACCTGATAGTGCAGAGCTTTGATATTTCAAGCTTAGAATTTTTGATCTAACAGAGCTGAAAACTTTAGAATGGTGGATATCGGGATTAAGGCTTAATCCACTCTTTTTCTTAATCTCGAGATTAAATATTGCTTGTTCTCCTCTCATTTTTAATCTCCAGATTAATTATCCGATCAGGATTAAGGATATGTCATTCTAAAGTTTTCAGCTCAGAATTTATAGTTTGAAATATCTAAGATTCATGGAATTGGGTTGCAAAGATAGAGAGATTTATAGAAAATCAGAGATTGTGGCGAAGACTCAATTCCTTTATGCATCCATGATCTTTACGCAACATCCCCTCCCCCCTACTGAACTTCTGACCTACTGCAATATCGGACGTACCCCAGCTGATTATTTTTGTATTACTCGAAGGTTCGGTTAGGTTAAAAGACAATTTTTGGGCCGTGCGCTGCGGCTACTGCTGCAGGACGGCTAGGACAAGATTTTTTAAAACCAACCCTGAAAAATGTTATGGATTAGCTGAATATTATTAAAAATGTTATGGATTAGCTGAATATTATCAAAAATGTTATGGATTAGCTGAATATTATCAAAAATGTTATGGATTAGCTGAATATTATTAAAAATGTTATGGATTAGCTGAATATTATCAAAAATGTTATGGATTAGCTGAATATTATTAAAAATGTTATGGATTAGCTGAATATAATGCACTATGTATGGAGACCCTACTGCATGGACAGCCATAAGCAATGGTATTATGTAAATATAAAAAAAAATATTTGGATTGGTCAATGCATGCGGTCTAGTGTGAAGTGGGGTTTGATTAAAGCAGGATGGGGGGGGGAGTGGGAATGGGGGAGTGGGAAGGGAGAAGGGGAGAGTTTTGAAGAAAAGAATGTTTCTAATTTTGTTATGCATGAGTAGCCTTCAAACCTTCAGTAATAGTTTAGGGACTTCCTTTCAGATCTTTTAAACTGTTCAGGGGGTCTTAGGGGGGCATCAGGGGGTACAGAACATTAGAAGACGTCGTTAGGGACTTCAAGGGGAGTTTAAGGGTTCCCAGAGGACTAATGAATAAGGTCTTTATGGATGGGAACTGTAATAGGAGATAAAAATTATCTTTCACCCTGTCTCATAATACACAAACAGTCAACTTTATCGATATATCTACTCATCTTTCTTTCTATCTGCTTTTTTCTATCTATCTGTTTATTTTTATTTCTATTTGTTTATCTTTCTTTCTTATTGTCTTTCTTTCTGTCTGTTTATCTTTCTTTC